CACCCTAAAACGATGTCATTTTCTTCTCCTCTCCTCTCCTTTCCTCTCACCACTCACTAGTTTCCAACTTCTACAAGACGTCAGCTCGGGCAACCAATTCTCTTAGGGCTTCTCCATCAATAAGATAAGTAGTTGGAGTAAGAAAAATAATTAGTTGCAGAACTTCTCATCAATAAAAGGATAAAAATTCAAAAATTGATTCTATATTTTTTATTTTTAATCTTTCAACTTTTTACTTTTTTTAATAGTATGATATTAAGCCTTGTTAATTAAATGTTGTGTCTCTTTTATGTTCATCTAAGAATCAGGCATATAGAAAACTGATACTAGGTTTAAGCATTAGCATTTTTTTTCTTTTTAATGTTAATTTGAATTCAATCTCTAACCTTAAAATACAATAAAAGAAAAATAAAAGTTGAAATATTAAAAATTACATCCTCTTACATAAGAACTTAGTGAGCAACTTGAGAGACATGGGAGGAAAGCTACCAACCCAATGCTTCGGAAACTGTGGCAAAGAAAAAGAGTAAAAATAGTGGTGCCCTAAGAGGATTAGCTGTTAGAGCTGAAGATGTCATTGGAGCTAGAGATTGGTGAGTGGGTAGGAAAGGAGGAAAACGATATCGTTTTGAGGTGAGAGAAGAGAAAAAACATCATTTGGCATTTCTTGTGTCACTTAATAGAAAAAGTTCATATCATTATAAAAAAAATTGTTAATTGAACTAAAGTACCTTATATTGGATAAAGTTGAGAACTAACATGTCTATATAAATATCTCAAGGACCAATTTACTCAACATTCACAATCTTACGAACTAACATAGAGGTTTACTCGATTTTTATGTATGAATGATAATACTTGTATTTTAAAGAAATAAAATAAGGATATATTTTCTTTCTTTATAAGGACATGATATTTATCATTTTGAACATTTCTTTTTTAATTTATGTAAATAATTAAAAAAATAGGAATTAGGCATTTAAAATATATAAATTTAATTTAAATTTTATTTCATATTTAATATTTCTACTTTAACATATGTGTGATTTTAGTTTCTTTAACTTCAATTGCTCACATTTGATCCCTTTAATTTTTTTTATATGTTCAAACCAAATCTTCCACTCAAAAATTTTATCTAATATGTAATAAAAGTATGATAAAAGTATAATATTTTATAATTTTATATAAATATGTAAAGAAAAATATGAAAAATATGTAAATAAAAATACAAAATAAAATATATAAAATATCATTAAAGTCTTAATTTTAAAACAAAAGAACTTAATTTGAACGTTTAAAAAATTAAAAGGATTAAATAAAAATAATTAAAATTAAAGAAAGTAAAATCACACATATATTAACTTATAGAAACTAAAAGTATAATTAAAATTTTAATTTATTTTATAATCTTTAACCCAATGCTATTACATTATTTGAAATAATTTATAAATAACTTACGAAAATAGTTCATATGATTAAATTTAAAACCAATAGTCTATTATATAAATATTTAAAAATTATATATTCAAATCCAATCTAAATATCTTTCTTAACTTGACCAGTTTACTTGTAATGTAATTATTTTTCTTTTTTTAAACTCTTTGTAAGAAAATAAAACAAGTATGAATTTAACTTCAATAGGGTCTCAAAACAAAATTATTTTATACTATTATATGATTATGCATTATCTATTAGTAAAAAAAATACATTAAATCTATATTTATTATCTACTTAATTAATTCTATTGATAAATGTTATAGACTTAAATTTTTAATTCATGAAATTAGAGTTTTAATTCAATCTTGAATAATTATTTTTGTATGACATGTATTTAAAGAAGTTAATAGATACGCTAACGTTTTAGTTGATTTGACACATTTTTATGGTTGTAATTATTTTTTAATTCTCTTAATTTTATTTTATTTTATATTTTATTAAAAATGCAACTTTGTGTAGTGTTACACGTTGAACTATGTAAACCTACCGCATTACTGAGGTAACATAAGAAATATAAAAGAATGATGTGATTATCATATGTGAAAAAATTACTCTTAAATAAGTAATATGATTTATGTGCATTTTTTATCAATAATTTCTAAATTTGTTTTATTAATATTTTTTAATTGAACTTACAGTCGAAAAGAATTTATGAAAATAATTTTTGAATCTTATAAAATCTTTCGTATAAAACTTGTTTTTTACATATTCTAATAAACTTCACGATTAAATTCATGTTATAACTCTCAGAGAAAAAGATATTAAATAATTTAATTATTTATCCAAATATATATATATATAAGTTGAAAATAAGTTAGTCCATTGGTTAAGGCCCCATATAGAGGGGGTCTAAGCCAAGGGAGCTTATTCCTAAATTGGTCAGGTCTAATTAAAAAAAATATATTATTAAAAATTCTATTTTGGATCAATAATAATAATTTAATTTTTTAGATGATGTATTTATTTTAATTAAAAAGTTTAAGTTCATTTATAAGTTTTAATTTATTAATATATTTAGAGTTTTTTTTTTACTTTATTAAAAAAATAAAATTTTAAAAAGACTAATAAGTCTAGATAAGCTTTTAAAAAATTATGAAAAACCTTAAAATATAATTCATAACAGGTAGATAAATCAAATTCAAATATTAAATTTAAGAATCAAGTTAAATTCAAGTTTTATTTGACTCATTTTCAGTTTTATTCATTGGTGATAACTGTCTAAAACATTCAAACTTTAACATTTAAAATTTAATTCGACTCATTTTCACTTTTTAGTAATTGCGATAATTATTTAAAAAGTTGAAAGGTTAACATTTGCTTCATTAAACTGTATTGCATCTCAGTACTATTTTCTAGAAAATACTAATTAAATTTAAACAACTAATAATAATATAATTATATTTAAAGAAATATTTCTTAAACATTTTTATTTATTTAATCTTTTTAATAAGACACTTTTTTAAAAAAAATTAATGGTCTTTGTTATACTGTACAATTTATAGAAACCATTTATTTTTTTTATATTTGTCTTATTAAATAGAGTTTGTGAAAATTCAAATTAAAACTAGTAAAGGTAAATAATATTAATAGTGGAATCAAATTTAGTGATATTAAGTGAAAATAAAATTATCGTATTATTTTATTTTTTTAAAAGTTTACTAATTTTAAATACTTTTATTAATTTGTATAATTTGGTTAAAGGTATCGTATAAAAAGAAGTAAAGTTAATATTATTATGATTTATAGAATATAATTAAAAGTTTTAGAAATTTTTAAAGTAAAGTTCTTCATAATTGATTGAGTAGATCAACTAGCAAATATTTATTCCAAATTAATTTACAATTTCGATTTATATAATCTTTAATATCTCAACAAATATATCTGATATAATAAATATTATTTTTAATACTTAAAATTAACTTTAAAAATTAGTTAACAATTATTATTATTTTTATTATGTGTTCAAAAGTACATGTTAAAAAAATAATAAATAATATATCTTTAATAAAAATTATAATATTTAATAATTTTAATGTATTAAATTATATAATATCTAATTATTTATAATAAAAATTTATTATATATAAATTTTTATTATGTCGTACATCAACTAAGTTTTTAAATAAAAAATCTCAGTATTTTAAACGAGTAAATGAATGTGAGTGCGAACATGTGTTAATATTAAATATTTGAAAAGGTATTTGTTTTAATTTATACAATCTGACCATTAATTTATTGGTTGAACCAGAAATCATTAACGCACTGCCTTGACTAAGTCAACGCCGATATAAGTTTCGAATGCCAACTTCACTATTCTGTTGTTCGTGGTTGTTGACCAATTTCTCTGCGCCCTATTCTTGTAGCAAAGCTAGGGTGACATTCTTTAACATATTTTTTTATCTTTCGTTGAAATTAAAGGTTAAATTTTTTTATATTATATTTATAATTATGTATATTAATTTTATATAATTTAAATATTTATAAATATATTATTCAAAATGTATTTATATTTTAAAAATAAAAAAATATTCTCATATTAATATAAATCTAAAAATTTATACACTGAGTCTTTTATTTAACTTACATTTAACAGTTAATAAAATAATAAATTATAAATCTGAAGTTAAATAAAAAGTTCAGATTGAATGTAAAAATTTTTAAATTTATACTAGTGTGAAGATATCTTGTTCTATTAAAAATATATTATATATTAAAATAAAATATTACAATAAAGTGTTTATTATTATTTTTATATAAAAAATTATAAAATTAATCTACTTAATAAAAATTTTTAAATTAGTTGGATTAATCAATTTTACATTCCATAAACTAAATCTTAAAAATTGAAGATAATAAATCCAAAAAAGATGTTAGATAATATGCTTAAAAGATTAGTTAAAAAAAACATATTAAAAAATATATTCTTATTATTTCGAAACAAAAAACATCAACGAAGCTCTATCGAATTCCCCTAAAGTTGTTTGTCTAGTTCACCCAGAAAAGATGAAACGAAGCCTTGGATTACATTCTACCAAGGAAGTAATACACTTAGGATGTTCGATAGTTGAATAAACTTACTATCTTTCAGCATTATTTAAGATTTCTCAATGCATATAAGCAAAATCACAGCATTTTCTAAAGCTTTATCTCCTCACATAAAACCTATATGGGTATAACTGCTTGAAAATTTACATTTAGAAAAAATATATTTGTTCATATTTTAGTACATAAATAATCATAGAATAATAAATCAAATTAGTCCCTAAAATTATAGTTACTAGTCAATTTAATCCTTGAAATTACAAAAAAGCTAATTTAGACCTTAGAACTCATATAGGTCTTTTTAGTCCTCACTGTTATAATTTGAAGAAATTGTACACATGTAACTTGAAGGACTAAAATAATCATTGTTGGATAATTGAGGAGACTAAAATGAAAATTTTTATAATTTCAAGGACTAAATTAATTGATGCCCATAATTTCAAAGACTCATTTGATGTATTACTCAATAAACCATGTACTAAAATAAAGAAATGTATCTTCATTTTCCACCGCAGGGGAAAAAAAATAGCTAATAGCTATAAACTTGAGTCATGTACAGTTTATTGGGTTAATGAAATTGAAAACGAATCAAGTAACTAAATCTAAACTCTTAGAACTGGAGGTTTCATCCTCTTGCTTCATTCTTGAATCATGTATTTCTAGAGAATGTAGTTTCTTTCTCTGCATCTTCGCTAGCAGAGACACCACTAACTCCTTGCTTAATGTTGCGATCACCTTTGAGCAATGAAGGTTCCTCATTCCTATTTTGTGGTCCAGGACTCTGCGTTTTCTTTTGCTCTATAGAACATTTTATATGGAACAAATATTAAAATTTAAGTCCTAAGAAGGCTAAGAAAATATACAAAATAGTTGAAAGGGAAAAACAACATACTTTTACTGGCGATCGCTTGCCGAGTTATTGCCAAGAATTCTTCCCATTTGAGGTTACACAGTTCTCTCTTTTCTTCCTCCGGTAGCTCGAAATTGGGCTCTCTCCCACACATGAAAGCAGCCCTTAAAAGAAATAAAACATACAAAAAGGATCATAGTTAATATAATGAATAAGAACATGAAAATCTACTGTAATACCGAATCTCCCTCATTCAGTAATGGATAAAACATTGTTTGTCAAAGATTTTTTACTATTTTGCTTGTAGAGTTTGTATTCATTATCTGAAGATGCTCAAATCTATTCTTTGACCATATTGAGATTTCTATTACAGCTAGCTTGCATAATGAACTTTGCTCGTAAGTCAAAAGTTAATGCAAAAATGATGGTTACATACACCATAGTCATAGCTGCTGCATGACTTGCATAACAGACTGACATACATGAATGTTTAAAATTGTAAAAGCATAGAGAATGTAGAACCATCAACATACAGAGATGCCATTGGACATGGTTTTCATGCAATTAAAAAATAAAAATGATCATGCACATATACATGCAAAGGAATCTTGATAACTCCCTAGTTAACTCAATGAATTTTCTCCTAAGGTGCAATGTTTCTACCTCCAAATGAGAAAAGAAAAAGAAATATAAACAGGCAACCAAGAGACTAGGTGCCATACAAAGACAAGCAGTGTCACTGTTGTAACCACAGTTACACAAATATTAGAGCAGCAAAAATGATTGTGTTGACATGGTAGACAATGGCCTAATGGTAAAATCCAAATACCCAAAATTTACATATTATAGGTTTGTTGGGGCCCAGTAAGTTATCTGAGGGTCAATGAGTGAGCAAAAGAAGCAGATAAGTTTGGCAGTTTATAAAAAATAAGAAGTGCATATTCTCTATATGACTTAGGAGTTATCTAAAGAGAACATTATCGATATCGATATGCTACAATTCAAGCTACCTGTCGTATAAGTGAGCAGCTTCTTCCTGTGATCCAACAGTCCCCAGGTGGATCTGTTTCTTGTCCACTTTTATGGCTGCCTGCCACTTCATATTTTTAAGATAGACCCCTCTCAGGAAGCATGTTTCTTGATTATGGACAAGTCTTCTTGAATGTCGCCTTCTGCGTTTAACAGGTGGCCCTGGAAGATGCAGGTTAAAATAAGTAACCACAAGCATGCATAGCCATAGAAAGACAACAGAAATGCTGCAGAATTCATGTTTATCATCAAATTAACTTTCAGCATACATTAGTAAACTGTACATGCATGTAAGCTGCATTCATGCATTCTTATGTTCAAATTAAATTTCTGCATACAGTTCCTATATGTCAGTTAATCCATGACACACTTCATGACGCCATGTACGTACCATTGGCATTACTCAGCACAGCATTCAATGTCAATTAAGGGCTTTGTGTAAAATGATCCAACAACAACCAAGTCTTATCTACTATAATTAGACTAGCAAGTGGAAAAGCTATCAAATCAGGAAAAAAATAAAAATAAAAGAACACAATGAACCAGACATTAGATACCCTTCTTGTAAAGGAAACACTATCTATTACTTGGTCAGTTTAGTAAGCATAAACTAATCAGATAAAAACAGCTAAAAGAAAAAGATATCTCTTAAAAAACAAACCTGTGCTTTGTTGACTAGGTTGTTGCTCTTTGGACGAGCTAGAACCAGACACATTTGATGAACCTGATTCAACTTTCACAGTAGTGTTCTGGGAAACACAAATAGAAGAGTTTAGTACAAGTTCCTGACTATCTAAGAAATGAATAATAGATATAATACCTACGGAGGAGCTCTCAAATATTATTAACTTGGTAAATATCAGTTCTTATTACGTCTTACTTAACACATCTGTTCCATAAATGCTAACCAATCAACCACTTAATGGCAATCAATCTAGAATCTTCAGCTATATTCTTGTATTAAACAGTAGCATGTTGCAAATTTTAGCATTTAAATCAAAACAAATTTAGATCACAGAGGAAATTATCCATGGAAGTAGAAATGGGAATGCAAGAACCCTATATCTTAAAATAACAGCAGATTAGGAAAAACCCATCCCTCATTCTTTTAGAGAATACTTTTTCAATCCCATGTATCATTGATTCTTCCAACAACAGAAATTTCCAAGCATGCCTCAATAGACTTGTTTAAAAACCAGGAGGTTTAACTAAACTCAAAAATACGAAATTCAATATCTTTTTAAAGCTTTATACCTCTTTCATGTTCAAATTCAGCATTGGTTATGTTTGTCTTTTATGTGATAAGCAAAAGCAGGCGACACAAACAACCAATGCCAACTCCTTTCTTTATTCCTTTCTCTCATGAAGTACAGGTATTAGGTTCACAGTTCACAAATAAAATAAAAATATATCTAGTTTATTCAGCCAATTGAAGAAGACAACAGAAGTCTTGGTTAAAGATCACTTTTACAGCTAGTCCAACAGATTTTTCACCCTTATTGTTTACTTGGAGAATACCACATCTTGCTTCCCCTCCCCAAAAGGCTAAACAGCTAAGCAACATAAATATAACTTCTTATGTTCAAAACTATGGGCATGTTGAGCCTGAGCATAAATAGATAAAAAGAGAAGTTTTATACAACATAGCAAACTTATGAATTGTAGGGACCCTTATATCAATGAAATGTGGTGAAAGTATTTAAACATTTTTCAATGAGAGAGAATGACGTAAATAATGTCAAAGTTTTCCTACACTGTCCAGGATGCTTGCAATATCAGAAACAACAGATTGTTCGCTCTTAGGTTTAGCCTGCTGACTTGAATTTGCATCACCAGTTAGATTCTCACAGTATAGAGGAAGTGGAGTGACAAATGAATTGTTTCCTGTAAAGGCCCAGTGAAATTAGTAAATAATGTCGATTAAAGGTTAGATACAACTCATATAGCAGACTCAAGGCAACCAAAGATGTCATTTTATCCTATTTCCATAATAACAGTCCAAATTAAATGAAATATGTAATACAACATTTACCTGAGCATAGTCCCAAAAGTCTGCGTCTTCTCAAGCTCACCATTGTTACTTGTTAGTTCCAATCTACTTACCAAGTTATCAGAGTACGATGATTAATTTCCTATAAAACCAACTTCCCTTCAATACAGAATGAATAGTATATACAACAAAAATAGAAGATTTTCAGGGATATGAAACAAATAAGTTGGAACTACAAAGGAAGAAAAAGCTCCAATCTCAGCAAGACATTGTAAAAATTAACAATCGCAAAATATAATTATCATATATTTGCCATGAGTCAGCCAAAAATAAATTTACAACAAATAAGTAATGGCTAGAGGAATCTTAGAAAGATCTACTTATGCAATAAAAGTAATTAGCACAAGAAATAAGTGACAACACCAGAAGACAATAATTGAAGAAAGAAGACATTAACTAAACATTGAGAAAGACATCCAAATACAAGATTTTGCTCAAAATTTTATCCTGCTTTAACCTATATGCAATGCAATCAGAGTGATTATGCCCTCATGCTTAGACCATGTTGGCCAAACCCATACATAAACAAACAAATACAAATGCAGATAAACCTCGATCACCACACAATTTCAACCACTATCATCCAGAACAAACCATTATCCATAATCAATCAAATAAAAAATCCAATTTCATCATACCATAAAGCACTATTAACCCATCAAAACACAACCAACGATATCTTCCTCAAAGCCAAAAGAAGGAAAAATAAAATAAAATAAAATAAAAACTATTTTTTCTTCTGACAAAATAAAGTTAATACTATACAATAGGAATATTCCACATCCAGAATACAAAGCGAAATTAAATTTTCAGAAAAAAAATAAATCACCCAGAAAAGCACCCCGTGACATGAACTCCAAAATTCTCTGCTTTGGGTTGAAGTCAACCCCATCCTACCACCTTTTCTAACAGAGAAGCCAAACCCAATTATCACACAGCACAAACCAAAACACATACATTCACACAAGGCACAAGACAAGACAAAAATTCAAGAGAAACCCACAAAGCCAAAAGAGAAAAAAAGATCAAGTTTTTAAGCCTTCCAAACCCATAAAAACGACCCACAAGGACCCATCAACGCAAGGCGAATGATGACAAGAGAAAGCCATTGTTGGTACCTTGAGACTGAAATAAGCCATTGTTGGTACCCACTTCTTAAAAAATAAAAAACAGTGTATCGCAGAGGTGGTGGTGTGACATATATGTATTTTGTTGTGACCTATGTATCTACCACCTTTTTGATGTTTGGTTTTGTTTTTCTCCCAGACAAGGTTGTGTGTGTTCTGCGTGTCTTATGTGGAAGGGTGGTGGACAGAGGGGGTGAAGAGAGAGAGAGTGGACGTAGCTGCTGCTGCTGTTTTGCCTGCTGCGTTGGTAGTTTGGTTTGGTTTAAAATTTCAAAGTCTATCATTCCCTTTAAAGGGGCCAGCAAGCAAATTCCAATGAGGTTGGTTAGAGACATGTCAACTTTACCGTATTACCCTTTTCACATTTTTGTTGTTTATTTTTAGGTAATTTATAAAATGTGTTGTAAGTTATGAATACATTTAATATCATTTCACTTGTGAAATTATTATTATTATTAATTTTATATTACAAATATAATAAATATTAAGAGTTAATAATTTATTTAAAAAATAAAAATATTTTTTAATTTTTAAAATATTAAAAAATTTGCAATTATTAATTTAAAAATATATAATTTCAAATTTATAAATATTATAAAAAATTATTTTTATTTTTTATTTAAATTAAATTTAATATAAAATTTAAGAATGTAAGAGTATTTTTTTTAATGTTTTTTATTTTCAAAAATAAAATATAATATAAATTTTTATTTTTTTTTTTATTTTTAATGAGAGAAAAGTATTTTTTAAAAAGGAAAAGAAATATACTTTAAATTTATAAAAAATATTTTTAAAATTTTATTATTTTCCTAGACGAAGATCATTGTAGACTATTTATTTATAACATTAACTATTTATTTCATTAAATGCAAATATAATAATACAATATATTTTAAATTAATTATTTAAAAAGTTATTTAATTTAATATAAAGGAAATTTATTAGCTTGTTATTAACTCCTATATGTAAAAATTTATTAAATGACAAATTTATTATTATTATATCTTTAATGCATATAATTTATTAAAATAAATTTTGGCTTTTTCAACAAATCTTTATGATTATTATAATTTAGACATTAAACTTAAAACATGTTTGACTTAATTTATTTTTAAAATTGCTATTTATTTTATTTTATTTTTGAAAAAAATTAAAAACTAGATAATTATCTGTAAATATTTAAAGTAAACAAATTATATTATTAATTAGTATATTTAAAATTCAATTATCTATTAATTATGTCAACTTTGCGGTTTTGCTATTTGCAATTTAAAAATGTTTGGTAATTTGAAAAACTTACCTAATAAGATAGTGTTTGTTATGATTTTAAGGAATTATTAATTCAAGTATAATATATTCTAATAAAATATATTTATTTTTACAACGATTTTGGTGAAGAACGTATGTTAAATTGGAATAACCCTTAATCATTTATCCACGTACTTACTCGATGCTTATTTTTACAACGATCTTGTTTCTTTACCTTTATATTATTTTAATATATTTTGATATTTTAAATAAATATTTTTTTAGAAAATAGATATCAGTTTTTATTTGTAAAATGTGAGTCCTAATTTTTAAATAAGTGTGTTTTGAATCATTATTAAAAAAAAAATTATTTTAAAAGTTAATTCTCTTTCTCACCATGATATGTTACTTTTCTTTCCTTGTAATAAATTTTTTAATTTAATTTAAATTTTGAAATCTTTAGTTTTTAAAATTGGCCTTATTTAATTTAATAAAACATTTATTAACTAAATATTTAATTTTTAATTTATTCAATTTCAAAATAATCATAATATATATATATATATTATTTAAGATTTACTTTAATATAATAATGCGCACACAATATACAATAAATTTTATAGTATTTCAAAATTTAAAACTTTAAAAAATCACCATATGAAAAAGGAAAAATAGATAGACATTAAAAGTTAAAACAATAATAGCAACAAAAAAAAAGTTAAAACAATTTTGGAAAGAGATTCCAAATTTAATGTTCAACGAATGAATTTTTGCTATACTATACTATCAATATTATATTAAATTACAATATATAATTTTTTAATTTAATAAAATTAAATTAAAAATTAAATGTTCAATGCAAAAGAATCCATAAAGTATATTAAGAAAAAAATTATTCTTAAAAATACATTTATTTAAAAATAAAGAATAAATTAATGCATAAAAATATTTAAGGGAAATATAAACCAATGTTATTAAACTTTAACTAAGTTGTCTAATCATTTAAACCGAAAAGCTTGGATTGTCTAAAAATTTGGTCAAGAAATTAGGTTACTTTGATATATATAAAATAAATGATTAACTGATCTAAATTTTATAACAGTGATATAAATATTAATACATTAATATAAAATATATAAATTTTAGAAGTGTAAGATTAAATGTGTATTAAAAAAATAGTTTAATTTAAGATTATTTCACTATTTCATAAATTTATTTTACCAAAATAGTTGTATTTGATAAAGCAACTTATCTTTCTAATTTTAGTATTTTTTTTATAAAAATTCTCATTTATTTTTATTTATTGCTTATAGTTTAAAAGATAATGATATTTAAATCGAGTTGAAAAAATATTTTAAATATTTAACATTATTATATTTTTAGGAGTTAAAATAATTACACGTTACTTATCACATGATTAGTGATAATACCTATTATATATTATATTATTCATTCTAATTTAATATTATATATTTTTCATTTTTATTATACTATTTATATAATTTATTTTAATCTTAATAAAAGATTTGATTCAATAATAAAAATGAAGAGTAAAAAGTAATTAAAAATCCTCAAATATAATTATCTTAAATATATTTTTATTTGTAAAGTAAAATTAAATTTATACAAGAATTATATAAATTCATTTGTTATATTTATCAATAAATTGAACAACTAATATAACAAATAATTATAATTTAATAAATTTTTTTAACATTTTTTTAGGCTTTAATTTAATATGTATTTCTTCTAGTACTTTTTATAAGGTACATTAATTATAAAATGTTTTAGTGGTCTTTTTATAAATATGTGATTGATTGCATTCTAAGATTACAAATCTTTCATTTTTAATTTTTTCTTTCATCATTTTTAGTTCTCTCTTAGTTAATTTGTTGGACTTTATTTTTTTATATTGTTTTAGTATTCATATATTTTTAATAGAGGCAAAAAGTAATCAAAATTTATAGAAATTTGATTATACATTTGTTTCATCGTCATCATTATTGCAATATAAGAGATAAATTGGTAAGGTTTAGTATTATGGATTGAGAGTAACCACAAACAAAAGTTAATCTTGATATATTGTTCTTCATATGTACTAAATATAAAATAAATATGTTGGATTCTTTGTCTAAACCAATTTGGCAAAGGGTTGTGTTAGGTTAAGGTTTTTAATAATTTATTAAGGTGTTACACATTATGCAAGTTAGTGACTATTGTAATTATTTTGCATGAATTAATAATAGTACTAGTATAGTGGAGAGTTTTATTGTTAATAAAGTAACCTTTGTTCTTAGAATTGTAATAGTTGTATATGAAGAATTAGGTTATCAAGATTTTATAGATAGAGATTGAAATTCATAGATTAATTTTCTTTGCAAAATTATGATGATGATTTGCATGAAAGATTGGATAAGTAATATAAGTTGTTAAATAAAAAAAAATGTATTAGTTGAATGTAAGAGAATGATGTATTTTTCCTCTACTTGATAAAGATTAGTTATTGACTACAATCTTAATTGATTAATATTTTTATGTTTCTATAGAACTAAAAAAAAAATAGTATTCATAATAAGTCACAACATGTAACAACCATATAATGTCTAAATGACATAAATGAATCTATACCAAATTGGTGGCCACCAAAACACAACAACTTGTGAAAAAAAAAAAAAACAAAATAAGTGAAACACATGATACATTTGAAATAATAGACAACATTATACATCCAAAAAAAAAAACAAGTAAAATTTAAGGTGTACTAGTCCTTAGTTTAGGTGTTCGCATGAATAACGTAATTTTTAAAGAATCATCTTTCTAATCATTTGGTAGACATGCTAGTGGGCTTTATTGGTAGTGAAATTAGAATATTTGCAAGATAGAGCCTTTGCCTAATGGTTAATTGGTTTCACTTATGAGTCTTTGATGGACTTAATGTTAATGATGAATTATTTTTCTTGACAAGTGAGACTAATTGGGAAAGGTTAATCTTATCTTATGCAGTAGTTGGACAACCTTTCTAACCTTTCAAACTCAATCAATTGAGTCATATTATAGGTACAATTTCATTTGTAGCCTTTGTCAATTAGGGTTTGAATAAGCCAAATTTTGGAAATGAAATATTGCTTTGTTAGGCTTAAAGCTCTTCTAGTCTTTGTTTTTTTTTTTTTAGCATAAGACAAGTTAATTTGATTCTTTTGGTTTAGGGTTGCACAACTAAACACTTAAACTCAACCAATATTCTTTTGAGTTAACGTGGGTTTAGGTTATCAACGGCCTCCTTACATTTTTATCATATCACCTTTGTTTCTTAGGTCTGCCCATAATACTTCTAACCTTTGGTAATAACGGTAGAATTTGTTGAGTGTGCTCCTAAAACTCCTAACATTGTAATGGTTCAACATGATGTTCATAACTTGTATGAAATAATGTCATTGTTAATCATCCTTAACAATAGTCTTTTAATCGCTCATTTTATATGTTATTACAACAATAATATGCATGCATGACATGTCTTTATAAGTTAAAAAAAGACATATCAACACAGCAACATATAGTACAACAAACTTCAAGTAATATTCAATAAACATGTTAAAATTTGATTAAAAAATGTCAAAATTAATTGAATTAGCAAGATAGAGATAGTTATTTCTTTACATGACTATACTAATGTTCATTTATTACTTTTTTTTTTTCTACTTTGTTTTGTTCTATAAGAGGCAAATGACTAACACAGTAATCAATTTCAACTTATTTGTATTAATTTTAGTCATAATATAGCATATGACCTTTTCTACCATTGTTATAATTGGTTTAAACTTTGCATTTATGATCTTTGCAACGAAGACATCACAATTATTGTTACATATATTATTAACTTTTGACCTTTTAAAAAAACATGTCTTAGTCTAGGCTTCTTGAAACCACTTGTCCAAATATACCCATGCCTTCTCACTCATTATCTTCATTGTCAACATATTTGCATTGAATTACAAGACTATAATTAATCTTACAGTCCTATAATGGTTGTTTAAATTTTCTATCCATTCACTACTTATTAAAATTTTGCTAAAGATATCGTACAGAAAACTTATGTTATGCTTCTAATATGACCTCCTGTAAAGTTGATATTAAACCTTACAAGAGAAATGAATAAGCAATTTAGTTCCTAAGAAATTAAAAATCATGCAAATAAGTTCTTAACTTAGAAACATTATTTAGTCCCTAAAAAAAATCAAAATCCCTACAAATTAGTTCCTATCATAGAAACATTGATAAGTTATTCTCATGTAGAACTTCATCTTGCTGTCAAAGATAAAATTTCATCTAATAATCTCTACATTTTCATGCAAACTTGTTAAAAGTCTTTTTGATTCTCAACATCAACAACTACATAAGCTATATTATGCAAATTTGGTTATTAGCTTATTGACCTATTGTCAATAATAATTGTATGTCTATGTAGTAACGCCCAAAAAAAAAAAAAACATCATCAAAACTTATTAATGGCTTGTATCCACCTTTAAAGTCACCTTTGCACCTAACAAGACAAATATATAATCTTTGAAATTATAGTGTACCTTTAGGTTGGGGAATAATATCAATTTACCTTAACATGGATTACACCTAAAAAGTTTTCCACAGTAGTCATGAAGTTTTTAATTATTTCTTCAAAAAAATTATATTATGCAAGAAAGGGTGAAAAAAAAATATAAGAATAAGAAAGGATTATGTTTAGACAAATTTATCGACAAAGTAAAACAACTAGGAAAAAAATGAAGCAGAAAATTTTTAGATTTGTTCTAAAAAAGTCAAACATGTAACATGTAGTGATTTTTACTAAAAATTTACAAAATAAGGGCACTCATAATGATACTTGAAATATTGATAATACTAAAAAAAATGAATTGGCTTTACTATGTTATTTACAACAACTGGATTTTGGCAAGACATAGTCAAATAATCCATAAGTGTTCAAAAACTTAAAAATTTACTTAGAAATTTTTTCAAAGAACTTTGTATTTCTCTCCTTTTTTGGACAAATTTGAGAAACTCTTGTTTTTTGTTTTCAATAATTTGTGGAAGTCACAGTGATGAAGAGTTGGATGATTATAACAACCTGCATCCTTGATCATTATTTGCATGATCATTATTGCAAATAATAACTTGTTTCAACTTAATTGTAATTATTAATGATATCTTTTATGTTTTTAAGTGTATTTTGAACTTTATATTGTTTCAACTCAAGTAATTTAAATTTAATTTATTTTAGAAATATAGATTTTATAAAACATCAAACTATAATATAATCTTCTTACACTAATGAAAGTCTAAAAACTTTTACATTTTTTTTAGATAGGCAAAACATATATTATTAAAGAGTTCAAAGAGAACTCAAAACTCATATACACAGAGAAAAAATTAATACTTATTCAGGAAAATAAAAAGTAAAAGCATAATTATACATAGTTAAGACAGATACAATTTTGTGGGTTCAAATACCAATCAACTAATAAAATAACTTCTCCCTTACTAACAAGTGATAGTCATTTCTAGAACTTCAGAATAATAGAATATAAGACTTCCCTCTCATCTAAAACACACTTGGAAAACACAATTATATTTCTACGTAACCATAAAGACTACACTGTACTTACCCAAACAATTAATAAATATATCCATTTTTTTTTACTACAACCAACACCAATCTAAGAAAGCAAGTGAGTCGATAAATCTGAAGACAAAACTCATATTTGATTTGAGTCTTTTATTTAATTTATATTTAACGAGTTATAATTTATTACTTCACTAATGATTAAATATAAGTTAAATGAAAGACTCAAATTAAGTGTAAAATTTTTTAAACTTACGTTAAAAGATCTTTCCCTATATATATAAAGAATATCTTAGAATATTAATTTGTAAAAATAGAATTTTGAAAAATTTAATTTTAAATAAAAATAAATGAGTTTAATGTTAAAGTACAATTAATTTAAATTCATTTTTTTTGTTAAATGATGTAAGTACAAACTTGATGATAACACATAATAAATTTTAATTAATGAAGCATTTATAAATCATAATTTTACAACTATAAATAAATTTTTTTTTCTAAATAACGTGTATTTTTATTGAATCTTGTAGTATTACTAAAGGTAATAATATTTTTATTTTAAATATTTAACAAAGTTGAATTGAATATATATATATATATATATATATTGCTTTAAATTGTAATGTTTTTTTAAAGTTAAAAATAACATTGTTTTTCAATTTAAGAAATACAACATAGTATTTTAATTAAATATAAAATTATGCAAAAAATTATATGGACGATAATTAAAATATTAATTATTTTTTTCTTATCTTTCTTCAATTTAACTTTATTTTTTCTTCCTTCGTACGGTTTTAAACCAAACAATATAGTCCCTTCCACATACTCGATAAATGTGATGTTATAGTTGAAAAATATAATAATCTTTTCTCTCTCCTAAACTTGTGGGAAAAATAAAGAAAACTTGTGTGCATGATTTTCTTGAGTAAAGTGAGCGCTTCACTTTCTTCTTCTTCTTCTGAATTGAATCCTTAACACAACAAAAAAAATGAGGAACGTACGAACCGCACTCTCTGGCACCGGAGGGAACAGAAGCTTCGAGTTCTCGTTCAGAGTGTTGGCCTTTGCAATATCTATTGTTTTCTGCGTTTTCTTCACTTTCTCTTTTCTCTTCACTACTCGTTTCTACTCCACTACTCACCGTAACATTGTAAGCTTTTGTTTTTCTTGCAACTTCAACATTCTCACATTTTCTCAATATTTTTTTGGTTGGTTTTCTTTTCTGGGTAAATTTCCCGAGAAACAATCAGTTTTTTTTCTGTTTTATTTTTTTTCCGAGTAGAGTGTGGGCTTTCGTGATTGATTTATGTTTTTGTTTGTGGGTTTGTGTAATTCGTAGGAAAATTTGATTTTTGTTTAGGATTCAAGTGCGGTGAGGATTCCATGGTGATTTGAGTGTTATTTTTATGGGAAACAACAAGAAAATTTGAGTGAATAAGGTAACTAAAAGGGTTTCTTTGTTTTGTTCGTCAGTTACTTTCTTTATGGGAAATGAGAGAGATTGGATGAGTGTATGGAAGCCATGACAGAACCAGATTGATTTTTTATTTTGCTATTTTCTCTGGAAACAAGCGGAAAATTTGAGTGGAAGTGTGACTGAGAAGGTTTCTTTTATTTATTTATTTTCTGGGTAATGAAACAGATTGAGGGAAGATATTGAATAAAGGAAGCCATAGCAAAACCAGATAATTTTGCTGCTTTGCTATTTTCTTGGGAAACAAACGGAAAATTTAAGTGGAAATATTACTCTAAAGGGTTAATTTGTTTTGTTTGTCTTTCTATATCTCTGGAAAATGAAAGAGATTTAATTAATCTGCTATGATTCTGAACCAGGGTTCTGAATGGGGTGCACAAGGATTTGAATCAATAAGGAGATCCATGCTCACACTGAAAACAGATCCCATGAAACAACGATTAGATCACATCCGTAAGCAAACTGAAGATTATCGTGCTTTGGCTCTGGGGTATGCATCCTATGCACGAAAACTCAAGCTTGAGAGTTCCAAGCTTGTTAGGGTTTTTGCTGAACTCTCAAGGAACTTCTCGGATCTTATGAGCAAACCCCAATACAGTGCACTTTTCAGCTCTCATGCCGGCCTAATTAATGAATCATTGCTACGCCAATTGGAAAAGGAAGTGAAGGAGCGAATTAAGATCTCACGCCAAGTGATAGGCGAAGCCAAAGAGTCCTTTGATAATCAGCTCAAGATTCAGAAGTTGAAGGATACGATATTTGCCGTGAATGAGCAATTGACCAAGGCAAAGAAGCAGGGAGCTTTCTCTAGCTTGATTGCGGCCAAGTCAATTCCAAAAAGTTTGCATTGTCTCGCCATGCGGTTGACGGAAGAAAGGATTGCACATCCGGAGAAGTATTCAGATGAGGGAAAGTCGACTCCTCCAGAATTTGAAGATCCTAATTTGTATCACTATGCCATATTCTCGGATAATGTTATTGCAGCTTCCGTGGTGGTCAATTCAGCAACAAAGAATGCAAAGGAATCATGGAAGCATGTGTTTCATGTTGTGACAGATAAGATGAATCTTGGAACAATGCAAGTGATGTTTAAGTTGAAGAATTATAATGGAGCACACATTGAGGTTAAGGCAGTTGAGGATTACAAGTTCCTGAATTCTTCATATGTGCCAGTGCTTCGGCAGCTAGAGTCTGCTAACCTGCAGAGATTTTACTTTGAAAACAAGCTTGAGAATGCCACAAAGGACCCAACAAATATGAAGTTTAGGAATCCTAAATATTTGTCAATATTGAACCATTTGAGATTCTACTTGCCTGAAATGTATCCAAAGCTGCATAGAATTTTGTTTCTGGATGATGACATTGTGGTTCAGAAGGACCTTACTGGGTTATGGAAAATTGATATGGATGGCAAGGTGAATGGAGCTGTAGAAACATGTTTTGGGTCATTCCATAGATATGCACAATACATGAATTTCTCACATCCCTTGATTAAAGCAAAATTCAACCCAAAGGCATGTGCATGGGCTTACGGAATGAATTTCTTTGATTTGGATGCTTGGAGAAGGGAAAAATGCACAGAAGAGTATCACTACTGGCAGAATTTGGTGAGGCTTGAAACTTTTCATGTTTTCAACAATGTTTTTTTCTTTTCTTTTTATAATCCTCAACCAATATTAAATTCTACCACATAATAGTCTCACTTCAAGCATGATATTATTATTCAAATAACATGTAAATGTCAACTAATGCAGCACTAGTAATTATGCTAGAGGTTTACTTTCAATCATTCTCATGAGTACACACTGTTTGCAATCTTACTGAATTATTATCCTACCTGAAGCTATTCTTTATTATATCATATTTAACTGGATATGCTTATGCTGGTGCAGAATGAGAACCGGACCTTGTGGAAATTGGGGACATTACCACCAGGTCTAATTACATATTACTCAACAACAAAGCCCTTAGATAAGTCATGGCATGTTCTGGGTCTTGGCTATAACCCAAGCATCAGCATGGATGAGATTAGGAATGCAGCAGCGGTTCACTTCAATGGTAACATGAAACCATGGCTTGACATTGCCATTAATCAATTCAAGCCCATTTGGACAAAGTATGTTGACTATGAGTTAGAGTTTGTCCAGGCCTGCAATTTTGGTCTCTAAATGGGGTAAGAGTTCTTTTATAGGACAGAATTATTTTATTTTTTTTTAAATAGACAAATTTTAAATTTTAAATTTTTAAGTAATATTGTCTTTCAATTTATAATCTCTGTTTCTAAATTTATTTTTTTATGCAAAATAAAAGATTAAGAAATTTAATCTAAATATTTATGTTATTCAAATAAAAGAATACATATTTAAAGATATAAGAATCTATCTAATTAAATTTTTTTTATAAAATTAACAGAAAAATATATTTATCAATAAAGTAAACCATAAAAATAAGTTTTTTGTTTCATATTTTTACTAGAAAAATTTATTTATTATTTTATATTATTTAACTATGCTAATACAATTTACTTATTACACACAACCTAAAATGCTCTTTAAAGTGTACTTAATGATTCTCGATCGAGTGATAATTTTGGTATTAGAGGTCAATCTTAATCCTAATTTGATATACTTCCTATTTCAGTGGATGAAGATGATTGTGATGTAATTGATGATGAAAAAAAAAAGAAAGATGTGAGTTGTATGAAATCACTTTAAAAAAAAAATATTAATAGAGAAAAAAAAGTTATATACAATTATTGCAATAAGCAACTTATAGGTAAAAGATTAGATTGAACAAATTATTTGCATAAACACTTTTAAATTAAATTTATAAAAGGTTATATAAGAATATAAGACAATTAATTTTGTTGAGAAAATAAAAAAAAAGGTAGATAGATCATTTACTTATTTGAGTAATTATCACTTTGATTCATAAAAATCTAAAATAGATATTGCTTCTACGATAATAATTCTTAAGTATATGCTTTCTATGGTGGATCATTTGATAATTCTGGTATTAGAGGTCAATCTAAATCCTACTTTGATATACTTCTTATTTCAGGGGATGGAGATGATTGTGATGCAATTGATGATAGAAAAAAAAAAGAAAGATGTGAGTTGTATGAAATCACTTTAAAAAAAAACTATTAATAGAGAAGAAAAATTTATATACAATTATTGCAAAAGATCAGATGGAACAAATTATTTACATAAACACTTTTAAATTAAATTTATAAAAGTCCATATAAGAATATAAAACAATCAATTTTGTTGAGAAAACAAAAAGAAGGTAGACAGATCATCTACTTATTTGAGTAATTATCACTTTGATCCATAAAAATCTAAAAGAGATCTTGCTTCTATTAATAATTCTTAAATATATGCATTCTATGGTGGACCATTTGGAGTTTATAGCATATTTACAGAAAAATCTAAAAGAGGTCTTTTTTTTTTATTTTTTATCTATGCTCGAACTTTATTCGGTAATTACGTATTAAACTTTTGTATTATTATATTATTTATATGAAATTATATAAGTATATTTTTTTATAAGTGTTTTTTTCCTTAAACAAGCGCATGTAATAAGAACATGTATGGATATGTGTATACCTAGAAAATATAAGTATAAGGATTAAAATTATTATTCATGCAAGTATGAGACTAGAGGCGGATATTTTCTTAAAACGCGGATATCAAAATGAGTATTATATTATCCTACTTATTGTCATCCTTGATTATAGAGAAGTATTAAGTAACTGAGAAGTTTGTTCCTTAATTACATAGATTAGTAGCTTGTTTAGCAACTTGCACATTTTTATTTGATTAATAAACTAATAATTGTTTAGTTAGTAAAAAATAAAATTAGTTTATGATTTTTAAAAGTTAACATAAAAAACTAATTACTAATAATTTAATTTTTATTTTTTATCTTTATTTTTAAAATAATTTACATCCAAAATAATAAAAATAAATAATAGTTGTGAATTTTATATTGAATATGTATAATAAATAATAAAAATAATAATTTATTTAAAAAAATTACTTTTAATTAAAGAAATTAGAAAAATTACAACTAAAGAGAATATAAATATATAAAATATTCTTTTATATATACCTAATTACAACTTTTTTCATTTTTTTCCGTGCTAAAACCATTGCTACTCTCTTTTCTTTTCTGTTCCATCTTTTGGTTGATTATAAGTACATAAATACTTAATTAACTAGTTGGATAATAAGTACAAAATAATTATCTAGTTAATTAATTGATAAATAAAAATAATTAATAACAAATAAATAAATAAATAAATTTAATTTTAATATTATATATATGTATACTATTAATTGTTCAACGCATGCATTTTAACTAATTAAATAGTTAATTTATTTAATTTTCTATTAATTTTACACCTCAATATTTAACTTAGCTTAGATGAGGTGGCACACGCTCATGAGGAGGAAAAGAATAACAGGGCGTAAACATGGCAAAAATAACTAGGATCTATCTCAGTTATGCAACTCAATATTTAACAGAAAAAGAATATGGCACTAGAAACCGTTTTTGTTTATGCTTAAAAATTGAAGGGCCTAACTAATAAAAATTTGAAGAGCTAAATTATTCAAAATTTGAAATATTTAACAGAATAAAATCTTATTGAAACCATTTTTATGGTGATGAAAATAAAACCGCGAATTCTGATTCCAAAGAATGAACTGATTCAATTATCCATTTTCCTACCGTTGCACGAAGAATGAGACAAAACTGGCAGGATATGGTTATTTATTTGTATCCCAACTCCAACATCTGCAAGAATTTCTTAAAGCCCAGCCAGCACAGTAGGCATTGCAATATAAGAAAAGAGATTTGAGTTCAACGAAACTCAAACAAGAAAACAAAGGAGTTAAGAGTAATTGATTGTTAATGCAGTTAGAATAGTTAATAGAAAGTTCCTGTAACCAAAATATATACTCTGCCTAGAGATCATGTAAGAAAACACAAGACACTTAAAAGTGAAAATTTTCTGCATCTCCCTTTAGACAAGCTAAGAAAAGAGAGAGAAAAAAAAAAAAGGAAGACAAAAAATGGATCACCCAAAGGCAGAAGGAATCACTGTAATGTGCCTTAGAGGGTGTGAGATGTCTGTGCCCCCTGCATGCTGCACAAACTCAGCTGGTGAAAATGTGCTTCCATGGCAGACACAAACAATGCTAACTTCTGATTTTGTATATCTGTATAGAAACCCATTAACCGTTTTCCCATTTGGCCCGTTCCCTTTAGTTGATACATACGGCATTTGAGGGAGTGAAGAAACCTGGGACAGAGGCTTTGGTGGCTTTGCCATGATGTCACCTTTGGTATCCTTCAAAGGGCCACTGTTTGAATTTTCATAAAACAAGGGCGTTTCAAGCATTGAAAGTGCATTGTTGCATGTTGAAGCTTCTTCATTGGGTTTCATTGCCTTGGTTTTTGTGATGTTTGGTTGGGTTTCCTTCACAGTGTGCTTTCTCTCTTGTTGTGCATTATTGTTGCCTTGTTTTGATCCCATAGGATGAGATGAAGCAGAAGCACTTTCTTCAGGTTGTGTTGCGTTGCTCATTTCCTTGGAACTGTTCAATCGGGTTGGTTCGGCTAAAGAATGAACCGAATGGCTGCGGCTGTCGGTGCTGCCTCCATCTGATAAAAGAAATTTGTGATAATTATTAAAATTATATCCAGAAAATAATTGGTAAACACAAGGGCCTTATATGAATGTCAAGTATTGATACCGTTTGATTATTTAAATGTCAGAGTAGTTAAAATTCCAGCCACAATGTGGCACTTTAAAAAAAAAAAAAACCTCTGATAACCTTATCAAATCTCAAGATACTAAATTCTCTTGTCTGGCTACAACCTAAGAACAAATACGGCGATAAGCAGCATCGCTGGATAAGAAACGGCACGTGATTCTGCTTGTTCTACTTTTCATATGCATTAATTTCTAGATAGAAAAATCAAGAAGCCATTTGATTATACTAGGGGTGACCAGTGAGGGATGAAGAAGTAGGTGACATGTTACCCATGCACTGTACCAAAATCCGGATAATGATCAATTTGCATCTATTTTAAAAGCTGCACGATATCATAATCCATGGCCCTCGAATAAAGATGTATTTTTTGTAGCACTAAATTGAATTATTCGATTTCAAGTGCAGAGAATCCACATCCTCAATAATGTCATTGCAAATAGTACATTCTATAAGAAGCAATGATCACTTAGCAAAACTAAGAAGAGGCTCCAAATGCATTCATATAATAGTGATAAATGTGTAAAAGAACCTAGAAAATTGTGATTACGAAGAAAGAAAGAAATCATAATAATTAGCCAACGGAAACAAAATGAATATTCAATAAATTAATAAATAAAAATTCACCTTCGCGAGAAGAGCTTTGGTAATCCGAAACCACAGAAGAACTGCACCTTGAAGACCCATTAGACTTGGCTTTTATACCTCCGCTGTTAACACCGTCTATTCCATCCACATTCTTCTCGCTGGCAAGCCAACACGGTAAAGGAAAGGCGTTACTCAATGGCAGGTACTGCACGGTGGCGTACTGGGGCATACGAAACGGAGGTGTCGTCCACGCCCCACTGACCCCGTTATGAGAATCCGTTTTCTCCCTCTTAAAAGCCCGTTGCAATTCGGGTTCGGGTTCTCTAACCCGGTCCCTCTTCTGCTCTCGCTTCTTTTTGACCTCCATTCTCCGCAACGCCTGAATCTCACGCTTGTCTTGTGGATCGGAGTAAAAATGAAAGGTTTGGGGCGGGGAATCGGGTGCGGGGTTTTGGAGGGTGTGTTTGGTGAAAGTCCCTCCGATGGACAACCCCAAATCGAGCTCTATCTCTTCAACTTGAACCATGGTGACACAGTTTCTTCATACGACAGTGGTACGTGATCCCTCTCTTTTAAGAATTTGCAGTCTGAGTTTTATTTTAGAAAGAGAGGCACACGTGGCGAAAGGCGAGAAGGCAGGGAAGGCGGTTAGCGACACGTAATGGGATCTTGTTGGGGGTGTGTAATTAGATAGGGGCGTTAACGAAGGTTGCACCGCTAAATACTTTCTTTCTTATCGAGGAACGGAGAATCTGTTTATTTATGGTGCTCGTGGAAGGCCACGTGGCGGTTAATGAGGGGATGGGATTATGGGACACGTGGCTCGTTTATGAGCCCCGTGAATCTCTAGCCGTGCTTAAATCTCGAGGTTCAGAGAGAGCGTGATGCGTTGCCGCTTCATGAGGGTGGGACATGTGGCAAGTGGGTTGAGTGGGGCCTACATTCTAGGGTTTCGGAAGGGGTAAAACGTGGATGCGGGAAGGTTAGGTTTTAAAAGCGATGGTGACGAAACGAACGTTGGAGTATCTGATTGGTTTGTACTTGCGGTGGGACTCGTTGCCGAAAGGGACACGTCATCGTTTTGGGAGAGAAGTTTTCACGTACTGTCTATATGTTAACAATTCTGTAACTGTCTACGCCTTTGTTCGTCACGAGTTCAAGCAATTCAATTTTTAATTTTTGATATTCAAATTTAATGTCAGTTAAAGGTTTACGTCAATGAATTTGTCCAGTTTGAAGATATTAAAAAATTATACTTTAACGCATTTAACATTTATTTCTTTAATTTAATCTTAATTTTAGTTTTGAATTTTTTTTTCAAAAATTTTATCTTATTATGATATAATATTTATTACTAATAATGAAAATATTTATTCTTTTTAAATTTATAAAATTTATTAAATAATCATAGAATATATTTTAAATGTTTATTATTTTTAATTTAATAATATTTATACAATGAATGAAATATTATTTAATTATTAAGTAAAAAATTCGTATTAAAATTTTATATTGTGTATAACTGTGCACAGTAAATGATAAATTTTTATTTTAAAAATATAAAATTAATAAATTGCTAATATTAAATGCTAAAAAAATATTATTTACATATTTTTATTTCTAAAAATAAACTAAACAGTTGTAATTAATGTATTTAGTTTTTTTATGGATGTTAATTAATTTTTATTATAATATAAAAATTTATTAAATTTCAATAATGGATTTTAAAAAGAATTAAAAGGGAAACAATTAAACGGTAGATCTCAAATTTATTAACATTGGTGAATTAATAAAGCGATGTAACGTATTAGAGTATTTATTGTTATTATTTATGATGTGTTTGGTAGTAATGTGATGCGATTGAAAGAGTAAGAGGGGAGGATGCATGAAGGGTACGTGGTGTGTGTCTGGGCTTTGTGAAGCAAAATATGAGTTGCAAGGTGGCAGATCTGTGCCTGTGCCACTGCGCCTCAGCGTCTCTAGCTGTCATTCCTCCTTCTGGGGGGAACAAAGTCCTCCTTTAAACGGTTTTTCTTATTTACAATAAAAAAAATCAATTATTAATTTATTAAATAACTTATTAATACTTTATTTATATTAAATATTTTTTATTTATATAATCATAAATATATTTGTGTATTGTACAAATTTGTACAAATATATTTATATTTTTTATTATTTAATTTAGTTTTAAAATAATTATAATTTAAATAAAAATTTTAATTTTTAAAAAATAAATTATATAAAAAATAAATATAATAATTAAAATTAATTTATACGTGACTTTACATATTATAAATTTTAATAATAATAATTTAGTTATAAAATATAAATAATTGTAATTTAAATATAGAAATATATAATAATAAAATTTTATTATATTAAATAATATTAAATATAATTACATTAAAAAATATGATAAATATATTTTTATATACAAATTTTTATATATTTAAAAATTGTAATTAAAATTAAAAAAATAATTTTATTAAATATTAAATTAATTCTTATATAATTAAAATTATACGTATTGATATAATATAAAATTAATCTGGGTAAGTCATATATACTTGCCTGAATCATTCGAAATTTAAACCAGTTATATAATATTTGAACTGGATCAAAATGGCTAACAAAGAATTCACCCGAATAAATTTGAAGGTTAAATAAACACATAAAAGTTAAAGGATAAAAGATTTAAGAAAATGCTACAAGTCACTGCCAATATTCCATTTTTAAATGTGTTTGTAATGTAGATGAATTACATGTTTAAAACCCGTTCTATGAACAGTGTAGATTAAATAAAAGAAAAAGGGAGAGGCTACAGCAAGATCGATAGCTAGCCTTACTAAGTGCTTAACTCTTATTCAAACTATTGAATGAAGATCCTTAAACAGGCATTTTCCTCATAAGTTGTCCTTTCATGAAGCTGAAAAAACAAATAAAGCAAAGAAAATATTAGCAATGATACATATTCGATAACATTTTATCACATTGTAATAAACAAAATGGCATACCTCTTCATGTAATAATAACAGAAGTCGGCCAAGATCAACGATTGAACCATCTCTGCCAGAAAAGCTGCCAAGAACCAGAAGTAGCCACTCCCAGCCAAAAATAGAAATGACCCTTTTGTCTCATAAATCTACAAAATATTAACAAACATTGTTCAATGTGTTCGTATCCTAATAACTCACGCCTTATAATAAGTTCATTATATTTCAATCTCATAAATCTAAAAATGCCATTGCCGAGTTGGGTATTTAATTTCTAGTGCTTCCAAAATTAATTCAATGCTTCATGAGATTTATACAGGGAAGGACTGAAATAATAACTTTCACTTACCTTACTAACCTTTTATCAACATTAAATAAAACTTTATGAAATCTTTCTTGAACGATGAATGTTATATTTTACTGAAAATGCAAGCCAATGACAATTTTGTTTGGGCAATGGGTGCTTCTAAAACTTATATAAAATAATCTAGAAAACTGAACCAAATAAAATTTGATCTAACCTGAATAACCCAGTGAGCCAATGCCAAGAATCTTGAAATACCAAGAGCGAATACATAATATCCTGTAAATGTTTCAATCATCTAGAAACATGCCAGAATTATTACAACATACTCAGAAGGTTTATAAAAGTAAAAATGAAAATAATACTAGAACAAATTCTTGAGGACTAACCTTTGCGTTCCGCATAAAACGAAGTTGAGGGAGAACAGAAACAGCTTCCAAATACAAACTGAAAGCCCAAATGACTCGAATAAAACGCCAATGAGTTGTAAAAGGGTGTATTAGTATCGCAAGGATTGCCGAAGGAACCACCTGCACACAATTAAAAGATATTATTGCTATATTTATTTTGGTCTATGCACATCCATGGTCAAATGAAAAGCATTAATATGGCACCACGAGACCGAGAACATTAAGACAAAATCAACATAGTGTTAGGTACTAGAGTAACTGAGTAATATCATACAGCTAAAATAGAGATAAAAAAAGAGGAATTGAACATAGTAATTTTGCGTGGAAAACCCTCAACAAATAAGGAAAAAACCATGGGATAGACCAGAGAAATAATTTTACTAAGTGAAAGAAATAATACACTTTCTCTCTAATTTACAAGGAGAGAACAATGACACTCTCTCTTGAAAAACTAAGAAAAAACTTACTCACTAGGAACACCTCACAGGAGAATACTATTTTATCTCTCTGTATTTTTCTCTCTATATACTAAGTATTGCTTCTAGTGGGATTACACTCGATGGTATTGGATGTACAAAATGAACGAAGGAAGCTTGTTATTTATAGACAAAGCTTCAGCCTTTCTTTGCCCGACAATAAATGCCACTGAAAAGCATGCAGAAATTTTTGACAAAACATACAGCAATTTGTTTGACTTTTGCTATACATGATGTGAGACTAACACATAGAATGTTAATGAATTGATCATTGTCCTTTTGGCTTATTTGCAAAGATAGCAAGAAATATAAACAAAATATGATGACTAAATATTTAACAATTTTCCCACTTGAAGATTATGATTAAGCTAATCATATCTTCACACATTACAATTTTATGTTGAATCCAAAATCATCTCCCACTTAAAGTCACTTTTGTGATCTTTTCAAATTTTTTTTTTCTCTTCTTGCCATTTCCTGCTGCAATTACGTTTCTGATAGGCCATAGGAGGACCTGCACCATTTAAACTTGTCAGTATTGATTGACTTTGTCATAACATCTGCTAGGTTATCTTTTGTATGAATCTTCTGTAGATCCATACTTCCTTCCTCCACTACTTCTCGAACAAAATGATATTGCACTCCTATGTGTTTTGTCCTGGAATGAAAGGCTGGATTTCTTGCAATGTGCAAGACACTCTGACTGTCACAATACACTATAATCTTTGGTTGCTTATGCTCGAGTTCTTCCAATAATCTTTGTATCCAGATTGCTTCCTTGCATGCCTGAGTCGCTGCCATGTATTCTGCTTCTGTAGTAGATAAAGCTACAACAGATTGTAATTTAGATAACCAGCTTACTGCTCCTCTTGCAAGTGTAAACACATAGCTTATAGTAGATTTTCTTTTATCAAGATCACCTGCAAAATCAGAATCAACATATCCTCTGACAATAAACTTTGATCCTCCAAAACATAATACAGCACCGGAGGTTCCTTTAACATATCTCAGGATCTCTTTTACAACATTCCAATGCTCTTTACCAGGATATGCCATGAACCTACTGACTGCTCCCACTGCTTGTGCAATGTCTAGTCTAGTACAAATCATGACATACATAAGGCTTCCCACCGCTGATGCATACGGTACTCGAGACATTTCCATCCTCTCTGCTTCATTGCTAGGACCCATACTTGAGGATAATTTATAATTAATAGGAAGAGAGGTAGAAATTGGCTTATAGTCTTGCATGTTGAAGCGCCGCAAAACTTTCAATAAGTAATTCTTCTGAGAGAGCCAAACTTTCCTATCTTTTCTGTTTTGGTGAATTTGCATCCCTAAAATCTTGTTTGCTAGTCCCAAGTCCTTCATATCAAACTCCCTAGCCAATTGTGCCTTCAATTTCTGGATTTGATCTTTGTTGGGGCCTACAACCAACATGTCATCCACATACAACAGTAAAATGATAAAAGTATCATCATCAAACATCTTGTAGTATGTACAATGGTCTGAACACAATCTGTTGTATTTGAGGCTCATAATGAAGGAATCAAATCTCTTGTACCAACATCTTGGCACTTACTTTAGACCGTATAGAGATTTGGTTAACCTGCAAACCAAGTTTTCTTTTCCTTGTTCTTTAAAGCCTTCTGGTTGGAGCATATATATTTCTTCTTCAAGTTCTCCATGAAGAAAAGCAGTCTTTACATCTAATTATTCAAGATGTAAATCAAATGTAGCACACATAGCTAGGACTACTCTGATAGTGGTAAGTCTAACCACTGCAGAGAAAATCTCATTGAAATCAATGCCTTTTTTCTGAGCATATCCTTTGACCACCAATCTAGCACGATACCGCTCCACTTGATCATTGCCATCTCGTTTGATCTTGTAAACTCATTTGTTTCCAATGACTTTTCGACCTTCTGGAAGTGTTACAAGTTTCCATGTCTTGTTTCTATGTAAGGCTTCCATTTCTTCCTGCATTGCTGCCATCCACAGAGAAGCATCTGAACTGCTCATAGCCTCTTGAAATGTTGATGGTTCTCCTTCTTCTGTTAGAAGACAATATGCATCATGGCTTGCCATCACATAGTCTGAGTGCCAAGATGATTTTCTTGTCTGACGTGATGATTTTCGAACTTCTCCATCATCACCATTATCTGGTTCTTGTTCTTCGTGATCTGGTTCTGCTTCACAAGAATCATCTTCTCCAGACTTTCTATCTATCTGAACAGTAGTAGCTTTTTTAGAAGTGCTATCATTTTTCTGCTCACCTTGCAGTTCACATCTCTGCTGACAATAACCTTGCGGGCAGTGGGATCCCACAGGCGATACCCCTTAACACCATCAACATAACCCAAGAATATACATTTCCTGGATTTTAGATCTAGCTTTGTTCTTTCCTGGGTGTTGTACATAATATACACAGGACAACCAAATACATGTAGAGAAGAGTAATCTGCTGGCTTTCCTTTCCACACCTCCATTGGCGTCTTAAGACCAATAGCAGTTGATGGTGACCTATTTATCAAGTAACAAGCAGTTTTGACTGCTTCTGCCCAGAAAGACTTGGCTAGACCCGCAGTCTCCAACATAGCTCTTGTCTTCTCCAGGAGAGTTCTATTCATCCGCTCTGCTACACCATTCTGCTGAGGTGTATGTGGCACTGTGAATTGCCTCTGAATACCCTCTTGCTTACAAAATGCAATAAATTCACCACTTATATATTCTTCTACATTGTCTGTCCTCAAGCAATTGATTTTCTTACCAGTTTCAAGCTCCACTTGTGCTTTGAACTTCTTGAATACTGGAAATACATCAGACTTCTTCTTGATTGGGTACATCCATAATCTTCTGAAATGATCATCAATAAAAGATACAAAATATTTTGCTCCTCCCAGAGACATTTCTGGTGACTCCCAGACATCAGAATGAATCAAGTCTAATATATGTTTGCTTCTACTAGTAGACTTATTAAATTTCAATCTATGCTGCTTACTAGTCACACAATGCTCACAAAAAGGTAAATTTACCGATTTGAGCTCGTGAAGAAGATTGCGGTCTGACATATGGCCCAATTTACGATGCCACATCATCGTAATTTCTTCTTGACTAGTTGAAGCAACTAATGCATCTGTCGCCTGCAATGTATCTCCTAGAAGCATGTATAGATTAGCAGCAATCTTCTCTGCTTTCATCACTACTAGAGCACCTTTCACCACTTTCAAGATCCCACCTTCAATATGGGTCTTACAACCGAGGTTATCTAATTGCCCTATAGATAATAGATTTTTCTTCAATCCCTTCACATGGCGTACTCCCTGAATTGTGCGAACAGTACCATAATACATTTTTAATTTGATAGTTCCAACCCCAGCAATTTCCAAAGCAGGATCATTTCCCATGAACACAGATCCTTCTGAGATAGGTTCATAAGTGCAAAACCAATCTCGTTGTGAAGTCATGTGCCATGTTGCTCCAGAATCCATTATCCATGCGTCAGTGAGCTGTCTTTTGCCTTTGAAACCAATTGCAGCTTCGCTGTATAGAATTTCTCCATCATCAGAGGTACTAGCAACACACCCTTGAGATGTACTTGCTCCAGGAGACTTCTCTGGATTTTTCTTGTTGTACCAACAATCTTTCTTCAGGTGCCCCTTCATGTTACAATTGTAGCATTTAAAGTTCTTCCGTCTTCGAGACTTTGATCTACTATGATTCTGTCTCCCACCGGGGCCACGCTCTGTTGATCTTCCTCTTGTCATCGTCAAGGCTTCCACTTGCTTTGAACTTTCTTTACTATCTTCTTTATTTTTGCGTCTGGATTTTTCTTCAAGAATGGCTCCAGCGACATCATCAAAGTTCGAGCAACCAACAATATTATTATTTGTTATATTGATGATGAGTTGATCATAAGAATCTGGTAAGCTCTGAAGCAGAAGTTCGGCATGTTCATTTTCTGGTATTGTGAAATCTGACGCTGTAAGTTGAGCAAACAACATATTCAGATTGTTGATGTGGTCCATTACTGATGTAGACTCACTCATCCAAAGAGTATACAACCTTCTCTTCAAAAATATTCTATTGTGAAGTGATTTCACCTCATATAGTTTGATGAGAGTATCCTAGATCTCCTTTGCAGTATCCTTTTCTGCAATGCTTGACAAAACTGAATCTGCCATTGCTAAGTGCAAGATAGAAACAACGTTGTTATCTATTTTTTTTTCACTTTTTCACTTTTCATCGGTAATGTTGGTGGGTCTACCTTTAATTGCTGCCAAACAATTTTCCTTTCTCAAAATTGTCTTTATCTTCAATTTTCACAGGGAGAAGCTACTCCCACTGAATTTCTCAATCTCAAATTTCGCTGCCATTTTTAACTAAACCAGTTTACACAATTTCACCGTAAATAGTACAGTATACGTGAACAGTATTATATATTTTTACCGTGCACCAGAATAATTTCAGTATACGTTAACAATCACTGTAAAAGTATACAACCACATCGTGAATAGTAACTATGAATAGTACTGCAGCATCAATAATCAAGGATGATTCTCCAACAACAAGGAATTAATCTTTTTTGATGTGGAAGATCAAACTAAGCTGCAACCACAAAGCATACTAAGAATATCCTACCGA